ATGTCACAATCTTGCAATAATCGAGTCATCAAACTTTTCTCGCAATATTTCGGTTGTTGTTCGCGCTGTGTGGCACCTAGCTCCGCTTTGTTGAAATCAGAAGTTACCAAGATCACCTTCTTCTATTTCAGCGAAGAAGATGATTTTTTAAATTATATATTATAATTTTAATAATAAAATTGAATAATTTTTAAATGTTGTTCTTCCTTATATCTTTCCATTATGAAATTGTAAACATTACTGGAATACAACGAGAAAGAATTACAGATCCTAATATATTAAAAATGGCCAAAACGACACATGAAAATCATATATGGTAATGCCTATTGGCATTATAAATAATTTAAATATTTAATATCTCAATATAACAACTTAAATCTAGTGGCAATGGTCATTTGGTGGTAATGGTTTTATCAGCATYATCACTTCGACCGAAGTTTATTAGCAGCGCCATCTGTTTGTGAATTTTTTGAAGTTTTGAGATGCATTCAAGTTTATCACTAAGAAATATAAGGTTAAACCAGACTATACAAAATTGCCTTCTCACGGAAAATAGTTTTATTTTGGTTCACGYGCCACACTTCATATACACTTAATCTACGCCTAATTGTAGGCTACAATACTTTTGATTTTCCGCCTGGATTCTAATTTTTGTCAGGCAAATAATGTCAATATGGCAACGATTTGCTGACAAACTATGTGTGTGAGAATGTATTAATGAAGTAGGATTTGTTTATTATTATTAATTAACTTCTGAATAGAGTATGTGTAAAGGAAAACGTAGACAAAGCAGAATCGAATTATGTTGAGTCGTGAAAGTACTTACTCATTGAAATAGTCCAAATAAATATATGTATATAAAGGTTACTAATGCCCCCAAATTATGTAAAAGAATAATTTTGTTGTCTTTCTAATTCATTACTTGGCTCTATTATTYGATCACAAGCTTGAMMCTTTTTGATTTCTGAGAAGSTAACTTTTCTAWGTTCCATTGGASAAATGTGGAAATATGTGTAGCCAAMSCAMAAGAACGTAAACATTTTTTAGAAAAAAATAATGCAACCTTTTTATACTAAATATATTTTATTTTTCATTTAAAATGTTTACATGGTGTTTGTAAATTATACTTATACTATTTATGGGTATATAAAATATAAAATTTTCATTATTGTAATTTATTCATATACCGTTCTTATAAACATACATACAATTATTAATTTATATATGTGTAATGCATGTATTTGTTTCTTGATTTGATAGTCATATGCAAAAACAAATAATAAATGACATTTTGAGCATTGTAAGGACCGACTAATGCTATGATAAAACTATTATTTATTATTTCGATTTATTATTTATTTTTATGCTTATAAGGGATCAAATATACACATTTTAGTATTAT